GGAATTTCTTCTAAACGTCACATACATCTTCCAAAATTAAAGCAAGGTTTCAGCTTTTGCAAGTAGAAAAAAAGAAAAAATAAACAAATTGTCCTCCCCAGGGAGGATAAGGATAGAAAAAAGAGTGTCTAGAAACAGATGGGTGCATCCTGTAGAGCTGTTTAGTGTGTCAAGTGATGTCTTCTTCCAGTCCTGCTGGCCTTCCCATCCTTCTACTATACCATCCTCTTTCCAACCTTAGGTTTTCCTGCAGATCGAGCACTGTACCTTCCATCTTGCTTGCAAGCCCTTTTCTAGCCTACCCCAGACAAGCTGAGGTTTCCCAGTGCCACACATCACAATGCCCTGTGCCAAGAGTACTCAGGCACTCAGAATTAATCATTTGTCAGGTTTGGCACAAGCACCTTGCAAGTATCATGTGGCTGCTGTGATCCTAAGGCTGCTGTAGGCCACTGAATTTATACAAAAGGCTCCGACATAGAGGTATTCAGTAAGTATCTGTCTGATGAAGGACTGAGTGAATAATCCAGTCGACTAGCTACAGTGCATGATTGCAGGGGAGAAGGGCCTAAAGTGCATGGCCCTTGGAAAGTCAATGAAAGTCACCGTGGGTAGGAGCTAGCGAGTTGTTCTGCCTTTGGTCATTGGCTTCCTGATGGTAAAACTGATGGTAAAACACTAAAATTCAGCAGAACAATGTGTGTTAAGAAAAGGGTGTTATTTAGACTAAATACTGAAAAATGAAAACAAGCCTGGACCGAGAACTGTAAATTGGTATGTAGTGAAACTATGTGAAGACCTCATAAGACGCAAATCTCACCTTTGTTCCAAATTAAATGCATCTTCTCTCTTCTATCTCCTTCTATTTTGACATTTTAAAAATCACATTCTCATAACGTCTAAATTAAATTTGACCTGCGCAAACAGATTTTAGGTTGCTGAAACTATTGCCTTTAATTAATTAAGATCAGAGCAAAGCTTGACATTTAGTCCACACATATTTGAAAGGCAGCGGCAAGGCATGTATGTGCCGCCGGGAAAAGCAGAAAGCCAATTAAGTGAGTGTATGGAATTAACAGTTACATGGAAATTTGATTTAGCAAATAAAACGAACTTCTGAAACTTGAAGACTGACTTGTAATCTACCATTTTTCTAAATACTTTATGATTTGACTCTTTAAAACAAGCTTTTATAGTGTTCCTGAGAATTTGCAATTCATTTCCCAGAAAGCTAACTGCATGAATAATGGCAGTAATTTTAAAAAGCAAATCTGTGTAAGGTAAAATCATAATAGTTACACCTCCCAGCACGCTTATGTCCTGCTCTACTGATCACAAGAAAGCTGGTGCTATTAATACCACCATACTCAGAGAGGTGAAACATACCAGTTTTCCACAGAGGATTCCACACGTTTCTATTCCTCTCACTGTGTTATTTTCGGCTAGCAGCAGAAATTTGTGGCAAAGATCTCTTGATAAAACTACACATCGCAGCCTTTCAACCACTAAATCCAGGACAAAGAAAAGGGAGAAAAAGCTAAAAAACAAATATTAGACTCATCCTTCAAAATTGTTTTCTGGTGAGCAGCTGAAGTTAAATATAAACTTCAAAGTTGAAATTAGAGTGTTTCACTTTCCATATTTTGTTTGAAAAAAATCTTTATACAAGCATTGATTAGGTAGGAAGAGGGCAAACTTACATTTTGTATGCAAATTATTTAATAAACAAAGTGTAGTGAGAGCACTTTTGCACATTTGTGCCCAGAACAACTGTTTCGTGTGTGTTTTCTTTCGGCACACAACAAATATAATACTTAAAGCACAGGACGCACTTCATATACCTCAAGACACTGGATATTTAAATAGTCTTTGTTGCCTTTAGTATGCGTTTCTTACATCCTAATGAAAGTGGGACATCAGTAAACAAAAGCACATTTTTCTGGAAATAATAACTAGTAAAGTAGCATAAAAAATGGCTGCCTTCTATGAAACAGGAGCACAAATTCCATGACACACCTGTCAAAAAGAATTGCCTATTTGATTTTGAAACTTTGCCAGCACTAATTTAGCCACCACTGTTGGCAGAAACACATTCAGAAATTAGCTACTTGTGTGTCTGTGACCTTCTCAGTTGATGCTGTCACTGAATACACCGAGCTTAGGCATTTTACTATTGAGTAAAGGTCTGGGCAAACAATTTCCCAGTGTCTTCCTCCCTGTCCAGTTGAAGTGTTTACCTTTAAGATGTATGTGTTTCTTGGATAAAAAAAATAAGGAAACAAAGAAGGAAAATAAATTATTGGAATTCTCATTTAAAAATCTATTCAATGACATGGTTGTTCTATCATCAGACAAGTCATGTTAGTTGGATTTTAAAGTTAATTACAGTAAAAGCCCGAGAAGGCTGAAATGCCTGATTTGCCATTCGCAGCATTTAGTGCTGGTGTCACTACGCCACTTACTCTGAACGGCGCTTAGAGCAGCTGCTGGCTTTAAGGCCCTATTCACCGGAGGAGAGTGGCTGGCGAAATCCGGAGCATCACTCTTCCGAGGCTGATCTGCAAACACATTCAGTGGGGAGTTGTTCTTGAGAGTGGAAAAGCAGGACAGCGCGCTTCCATCAGTTTGCTCTGACAGCACCGAGGGCGCCTGGCCTCGCACCTGGCCCCTGGCTAACTCCTGCTTTTTGAGCTGATCTTCGAAAAACAGGAACTGTTCGGATTCTAGCTGCTGCTGACGCATCTGAGCGATCCGCTTCCGTTCTGCCTCTATCAATCTCTGATGCTCCAGTTGTTTGAGAATTTCGGCTTTGTATTTGTTCTAAAGAGATAGTTGCCAGAAGAAAAGGTTAATTTCAAAGTCAAAAACATAAAACGGGCTGCAGTAGTTGCTGCTCTTGCAAAGGACTGGGTTTGATTCCCAGCACCCACATGGGGGGCTAACAGCCAATGATAACTTCAGCTCTGGGAGACCCATGCCCTCTTCCTGCCTCTGCAAGCACTGCACACACCTAGCGCACTTACAGGCAAAATGTTCACGTACACAAAGGAAAATACATTTTTTTAGTTTAGAAAAAAACTCCATCAAATTGGGATTAGGCACTTTTAATTTCCCTGACAGTCAGTTTATACTAAAACAGGGAGAAAAATACACAGCACAGCAAAAGCCTCTCCTCTTAATTTGATGAAGAGAGCAGCTCTAAATCCATCATATTTCACCAGAGGCAGCCTGGCAACTAGGCTTCCTATATTCTCCTGTGCTTCTAAATGTTGGAATATTAACAGGAGACTTGTCTGTCTGACCCATCAGACCGCCTGGAACAAAGTATCTCACCCCCAGACTGCACTGCCCAATCTGGTAGCCACCTGCCAGATGCAGTTATTTAAATTTAAACCAATTGAGATTTAATAAACTTAGAGGTGTGGTGTCTCAGGCACACCAGTCTAGGCACTCAACAGCCACTTGGTAGCTGCTGTATTGAAAATGCCAAATAGAGCATTTCCATCACTGTAAAAAGTTCTCTTGCCGAGAGCATCCTAGAACCGTTTTTCATTTGTCTGCAGAATGCATCTTCTGCCAACACTTTATGAAGGGGAATCACAAAGAAGTAGTTCCAAAATGTGTTTCAACAAGAATCTCAGTTAAAAACAAAGAATTCCAACATCCCAGTCCTTATATAATTTCCAGGCATTATTAGGGAATACCAAGTTTTAGTGTTCTCTAACTGATGTTAATAGAACCCGTTATCCAGAAGATGCTATAAGGTGGTATATATGCACACACACGAATCAATCAGTCTTGTTAGCACTAGGAATTCTGATTCAGTATGTCCAGGATGCGCCTAGTGTCCTGCATTTCTAAGATGATACCAGTGCTGCCCACAGCCAGGGCTTACAGGTAGATCTGTTCCTCTCTCCTGTGAATGGCTCCTGCCATTCTATCACCACAGAAATTTCCACTGGGACACAAGTGTAGGCACGAAGGCATTGATATTACAGGTGAACGTGTTGCAGCTGTGCCAGAGGAGCACGATCCACAGTTCTTCTACTGTTTACTTAAAACACCTCATGTAAACCAGGCTTCGAGTTAGGTGCAGAGGCTAAGAAGTTCTGTGACTGACCGTCTGCAGAAGTAGTGAGGTGGTGTGAATTAAGAAGAGTTAGTGAAGGTGGCAACTTTCAAAGCAAATAAATATCCAACCACAACAAGGAAAAACACACTTCTAACAATTTTATAAGAATTTGCATTTTGGATTGGAGAACCCCAAGGATTTAGTAGTCAATTCTTCTTTCTATGCTTTTATTTTTTCCTTATGCAATAAAAATCCAGAATCCACCATCCTTTGGTACTGTGAGCATGTTTTACACACGTGGTTAGCTGTTCTATTGTGATGTAATGTTGACTGTCATATTTAAGAAATGAATTCATATTTCCAAGGCCTCCATAATTAAGTACACCAGAAATCATGCACTATTCCTCCTACTCTCTACAGCTTCTGTTCACTGAAAAAGAAAGATACAGCAAGATGGCTCAAGGTGACTTTCACAAGAGTTGATCAAAAGCTCTATTTAAATCACTGTGGGAAATCTGTTTTCTAATGCATTGCTTTATTAGATGTTTTAGGAAAATAAAAATCCCATATCCTTGGTGCAAATGCCTAACGTGGACATCAACATGAATTTTTTATCAGCTCTGCATCATTGCATCTTTAATTTTTAATTTAAATGCATATGATATTTTAGAAACTCATACAGAAATGAAATTCAAATGCCATTTTCACAGAAAACAGTCAAGAAATAAATGTACCAACTGATCTTACTTTGCTTTGCAAATATTCTTGGTATTCTGAGTTATATTTCTTTAGCAGGTCTTTTTTCAATTCATCTGTCCTTGGGAAGGCAATCTCCTTCAATTTCTTTAAAAAAAATACATACACATATTGATTAGTGGGACTTGTAGTATACTCATACAGGACACCAGCTAAGAAAGAAAAAGAGCTCATATTTATATCAGAAATCGTCACAAGTAGCCAAAGATGGCAACAGAAAAATAGATCTCTCAACTCTAGGGTTCCAAAGTATAACTTCTGGCAATGAAGAAAAAAAAATATGTGTATTTATCCCTTTATAAGATCTTTATTGAGTTCACTGGTTAGCTAAACATTTTGTTTAGGCAGGTACCAATTTTTAGGTAAGTGTAGAATTACACACTGAGTATGTAAATCATGTAGCATCAGAATTACACAAGATATTGTAGGGTGTGCAGTGGGTAGAGACTCATAGGCATATCAGAAAGTAAAAAGCAGGTGAGGCGCCCGTCATAACAACCCAGATTCCAAGGCCTAATCCCAGACCTACTGAATTCACATCTCTAGACAGGAATTTCGTAGTAAGGAAATGTGTCTCAGATAATTTCCCCAGTGATTCTTAACAGGAAAACCTGGGAAACTGGATATAATCTAATCACGGTCCTCCATTTTAGAGGAGAGGAAGTAAAGGCCTAATGCAATTGGGCCATACAGGCAAGTTAGCGATCCAATTAGAACTAGGACCCAAGCCTCTCACCTCTAGCTAAACTCTTCTATCACATTTTCTGCCCTCCTAATGTTTTGCCTTTCACTCATTCTTTTGTTCCTTCACCTAACCATTTGTTTAATAAGGATAAATAAGAGAAATGTATATACTCGTGAAATGTGTTCTATTGTTGAAAAAGAGAACAACCCTCAATTATAGTAAAGGAATCACTTGGGAAGCCTAGGAGAGGCCTTTGGTTCCTCTACAGAATGCTGATGTTGAATGAGCAAGAGAGAAAAAGCTACATGAAGACATGATCACAAAGTGCGTGAGTGAAGATCATTTGTCACAATCTGAGTTCTAGAGCCTGGCAGGATTCCATCATGGGGACGGGGACCACATCATGACCCCCCACTTTTCCTTGAGGTGCTATTTGCACCTCATGGTTGTTGGGGAAAGAGGAGCCATTTTCTTCAGTGGTCTAGCCACTGCTAAGCTGCCTATCTTCTAGTAAATAATCCCTGACCTGTGCTCAAGCAAGCAACAGTAAAGTCAGTGGGTTGGTTTAAAACAAAAACATAAATCATGAAAGCAGGACAAGTAGGAGGAGGGCTTGTTGGGAATAAAAATGGGGTTCAGCAAACAGTGAAGGGAATAAGAGAGGGTAATGGGGTGAATATCATCAAAATTTATTATATACATGCATGAAATTGTCAAAGAATAAATTTTAGAAATATTTGTTTTTAAGTCTGAGTCCTGGGTTGGTAAGATGGCTCAGTGGGTAGGTGCTCACAATGCAAGTCTGATGACCTAAGTTTGATCCCCAGGACACACATAAAGGTGGACGGAGAAAACCAACGCACAAAGGAGTCAAAGTGACCTTCCATAGGTGTGCCATGACACGCACCCCCCATACATTATCATACATATGCATAATAAATAAACACTAAAAATAAAAGTTTTATATCCAGGCAGCCTTAGGCCTCACAAGACTGGAAAGAGAGGCTTTATTCCATTATATGGTCAAATATAACTTTTTGAAAAGTTATCTAAAAATTTCATGTTGTGATTGGCTAGGTACAAATTGTTTTAAGTCCATATAAAATTAACACAAGCTATTTTAGGCAAATGAATGGGAAATCTTGCAAATTTTTATTAAAAAAGATATATTCTCAGCAGTATTTTCAGCTCTATAGCAAATGTTTGTGAGAAATCCATCCCCTGCAACAATCTTTCTTTTCTTTGAGTGTATTTCAGGCAGGTTACTCCTTCAACACTTTAACATATAAGCCTAGCTCTAGAAGTAGGAGGTAGTCACAGGCCACTTGATGACAAGGATGCAGTGTAAGAAATGTGCATTTCAGTGATTTTGCTGTTATTTGAACATCACAGACTATAGTTACACAAATTAAGATGGTTACAATGTCACTAGACAATCGATGTGGTTTAATGAGACCATTGCCAATTACAGGACCAGGGGAAGAGGGGTTCAAATATCATAATGTACACTGCGTATAACTATAACTAAAGCTATTAGATTTTTAAGCTATCTACAAAATCAACACATTTTCAAATAGTTATTCTGTTCTGTGCAGAAAAATCAAACTCAGTCAAGATGGTTGCCTGAAATAAGTACAGGGAAAGAGCAATTCTCTCAGTCTCTAAGAGGAACCATAAACTAATTCCTCCTTCACAGCATAGATTACTGACCTCACTCTTTTTTCTTTCCTTTCACCAATGTCAATTAACACTTCACACTGGCAACCAGAACCATTAAATGTCTTCAGAAGGAATCGGAGCATCAAGGCTAATGGAATAAAGGTTTTGCGCTCAAACTCCCCAGAGGATGAGGTAGAGGAGGACAGGAAGGGAGTGGTGGATCAATACTAATACTTAGGGACATTTGATCCAAAGAGCCAGACCCATCATACCTTCATAATATCCTGCTTCTCAGGTACTGCACATTGCTGGTAATCTCGATGGCTGGGAAGCTTTTCTACAAACAATCTAAAGAATGAGAAAACAGAGCAAAAAGTCAATGACTTTTTTTGAGAATGAGCATCCTTTAAAAAAAAAAAATGACTCACTCATTAACTTTTTATTTAATCTACAGTCTTTCCACCTACCTTTTCAATGAAGGTTGGCATTACTATTATCCTGGCATTACAAGTACTTATGCTAAACAAATGAGAACAGAGTTAAGAAGTTAATAAGGTCAGGATTTCTACATACTCCCTCAATACAGTCTCCTTAGTCTTTTTCGGGTCCTGGTTATGTGATCTTACCAGGCCACCATCTGACTTTCTATGTGTTTAAGAGCTTTGAGCAATAGATGTAAATTCCTTTCATCCCTGAAAGAGACTCAAAAAACCACATGTGAGTCAGGAATCATCATTATGTATTTTGTCAAGCATGCTGAACTGAAATTTCACAGCTAAAAGAAATGGCAACCAGAATCTAGTGGATTATGAGGTGTTAATTGGGAGTTTTTTTCCTCTTCCTTTTGGAAGAAAAAGATATAAAAGTAGTGAATGAAAAATCATTCAAAGCAGGTGCATTGTTCCCAGAGAAAGTGCAGATACCATTTCTCAAGGGCAGAGGTTTCTCTCTGTCTATGCTGCATCCCCAGCATGAGCAAGAGCGTCAGCTCATAACGAGTGATCAATACCAATTTGTAAAATGAATGAACAGCCTTTCCTTAATAGGTCATACTGGGGTATACATGCTACTTCTGATCCTCTAATATGATATCTCATCTCACCTAATGACAGGGTTGTAGGACAGACTGAAATACTAACATAACTCCCAATTTCCATTTTCTTTCCTTTTTTCTTTCTTTTTTTGGGGGAGATCTTTTTGAGATAGGGTCTCCCTGTAGCCCCAAATGGCCTGAATCACTATGTAAAAGTCTTGAACTCTTGAACTCACAGAGATCTCTCCGCCTGCCTCTGCCTCCCAAGTGCTGGAATTAAAGGCGTGTGCCACCACACCCAGCCCATAACTTTCATTTCTGAAATGAGGCAGCTCAGGATTACAGAAATTACATAAAAATTGTTAGCTACCAAAGACTTTCAGAAATAGAATAAAATCACACACCCTCAGAGCTGAGGCTTACTCAGGAGATTTTCTCCCATAAGGCCTCATTTGTCAACACACCTTTGAGGCCCAAGGAGAATAAGTGAAGTAATAATTCTCACATACTATGTGATAAGGATTCGAGTGTTCTGAGTACTTACAAAAGGTCAATGGCCTCTCCCTCCTTCATGAGAGTGCTGCTCAGGGAATGTGTGCAAAACTGGACCCAAAGTGGGAGGTGTGTGCAAAACTGGACTCACAGGAGGAAAACGCATTATTCATTGATAATAAAGTTCAGAAAATAAGACTTTAGAAAGTTCTGGACATGGGTTGTGGTAGACAACACTCAATTTCATATTTATTGTTCAACTTTCTAAAAACAAGTGATTTTCTCAGGTGGAATGAAGACTATCTCTAAATTTCCAAGTTCACTAACTTGTAAAACTATATAATACACAAACTTTTTGATTTTGCTCTTGGTAGGATCCTAAAAAAACAATTCTTAGAAACATTTTATTTTTTCAACTTTGTAAATATTTTCAGAATAAACCTCCAGCTAAACTACTGAAATTATAAATGAAATAAGCAAAATACAAAATGACAAATATTAAATGATCTCATTTATATGTGCAATTTTAAAAAGTCAAAGGCAATGGGCTGGAGAGATGGCTCAGCAGTTAAGAGCACTGACTGCTCTTGCAGAGGACCCGGGTTCGATTCCCAGCACCCACATGGTGGCTACAAACCATCCTTAACTCCAATTCCAGGGGAATCCAAAGTCCTCTTCTGACCTCCATGGCATTGCATGACAGCACGACACGGGTGCACTCACATACATGCAGGCAATACACTCATACACATAAAATAAAAATAATAAATAAAATATTTTTTTAAAAGTCAAAGGCAGGTGAGCATATTTGGGAGGTAGAGGCAAGAGGATCACAAGTTTAGGGTCATCCTGCCTTGGCTAAATAGTACGTCACAGGCCAGACCTTGTTTCAAAGAATAAAAACAGAAACCAAAGCAGCAAACAAATAATCAAAAACAGGCTGGAAGGATGGCTTACTGGGTAATGCATGAAGAGCTGGGTTTGAACCTGTAGAACCTACATGAAAGCTGGGCACAAAAGGACAGATGTGTAATCCTAGAGCCTCTATAGTGAGAAGAGAGGTGGAGACAGGAGAAAGCCTGGATGTCTACGGTCCAGTGGTGTATACACAGCAGTGAAGAAGAGCAACAACAAGAAACCCTGTGTCAAAGTAGAAGGTGAGGGCTGGTACATGAGGTCGTTTTCTGAACTCCATGTGTGCACTTGGCATGGATGTACTTCACACACACACACACACACACACACACATTTTAAAAGACGTTAAAGGGTACAAAATTTCAGTTAGGTAGGAGAAGTTTAGAGATCCAGTATACAACATGGTGATTGTAATGAAAGCTGTGTCAAGACAGTCAATTTTTAAATATCCTCACTACAAAAAATGGCAAGCATGTGAAGTAATAGCTATATCAAGTAGCTGATTTAGTCCTTTCAAAATGTGTATGGACATAAAAACATACACACATCACAGATACACATAATATATTTGACAATTAAAGGCAAAGCAATGAAATTAACATGTGACTTTCAATTAAAGCAACAAAAAGTTTAGCCTAGATTCAATCACTGTTGGTAACAGGAGACATTTCCAGCCAGTTAAGTCAAAAAACTTGTAGGGAAAGTTGAAATCCACTATGTGAACAATTAAACTAGAATGTATTACTAAAAAACAATCTGACGGGAAACGCAATTTCTGGATGGCCACTGTGGTGTTGTCACTTTCACTCAACATTCTGAAAGCTCTTTTGTATACTAAATTCTTGTATAACCAAAGAAGGTGCCTTTTCAAAGTAAAATGCTAAGTGTTATGTGAAAGGAACTTCTCTGCACCCTCTCCTGGAACCACATCTCTCCTGTATACCCCAACTTGTCCTTAGTCTCAACCCATTAAATCCAATTCTTAAATGTTAATGGTCCATTCCACATGCTCTAGACAGAGCAATACGGCTCCTCCTCTCAGAAAATTTATGTGCCTGTGGGGGCAGGGGGGCAGCATGAAACATGAAATTATGAATGAAGCACATAGTTCCTAGGCTGGCTGTTGAGAGCCTCATCTCCTCCTGATCCTTCCTCCCATTCCTGATACTCAGGGAGGGTATCTGGATGCCTTCCAAAGCATATCTTGCTATGTTAAAACATGGATGTTTCATGTTTTTGGAAATGGTCAAATTGATTTGACTATGAACTATCATTGAATCCAAACTGCCATATGAAAACATCACATGAATATCTTTCCAATTGTCTTATTCCAAAGACCTCTAAAACAAGACTTACGTTATAAATTTGTTGTACAGAACAAAGGCATTTTCCAAGTTTCCTTCTTCCAAATACACAGATGCCATTCTCTCCATTTCTACTCCGGACCTGAAGTAGCGGCGTGGGGTGATGTCTTCATTAACAGTGATGTTACAACCAAGCTTGCTTAGAGCACGGACTCGCTCTTCTGGACTTAGAGAGACATCTGTATGGTCAGGCATAGCAGCTAACTTTTTCTGCAAAGCAATATTTAAATCTCTGATCATGATTTTTAAAAATGTATGTACTGATTAACATGTATTTTCTGTACTGGAAATCCAATACCTAAGGAAATCCTTCCATGAGAGTTAATGCCATGACCAAAGCAAAATCTTGTTGGATAAACACACCAAAAGACACATATCCAAAGGAAACAAACGTTTTGTATTGGAATAATATCTTTTCATAGATTTCAAAGTACAATTAAGTGGCCATTCTGGAGCAGGCAAGTCTTCAGATAAAACATATTGACCCCCATGTAGCTGTGATGTTAACCATCCTGAGCCACTGTTGCCATAGTAGGGTTCATGTCATTAGACTCTGAAGGTCTTCGGGATGTTGCTTAGATTCGAAGTTACTGTCAAGATTTGATTCTGTCATCTCCCTCCATCTTCACCAAATAACCACTCATAGGTCCTGGAAAAGTCCTTTCAAGAATAAGAACACCCTCCAAGCTCCATTTTTTTAAATATGAAAATACATTAAACCTCTACCTAATGGTAATTGCTCTGCTTATTAATCCTTGACCAAGAAAATAATAAATTACTAAAAGAAGTCACTTCTATTGCTACCTTTGAATTTTGTTAATAAGCAATCATTTATCCACACTTGGAAATGCATAAAGCATACCTATTCAGGGTAATTATTCAGTAAAAAGGCAGTGCTTCAGAAATGCAGATGAATCAGGAGAGGTTTTTTATATCTATGAAGGGTTTTTTATATCTATGAAGTAAATATTGTACAGTCTCTGTTGTAACTTGAATTCAGCTTTCCAGATGTGAAAGCTGCTATAAACAGTGAAAAACAAACAGGAAACAAATGCCTGGCTGCATGCCAGGCAGCGAATGTAGCCTCAGACCACAACTTGCTTTTCCCTGGTTTAGACTTTAAAGTCTCAGAGTATGGTTCAGGCATCAGCAGCATCAGCAGCAACAGGGCCTTTCTTAAAAATGAAAATTCTTTACTGGCTCCACTGCAGATCTATGGACTCAGGATTTCCAGAGATGAGCTTGGAAATCCATGTTTTAACCTATGTTCCCAGAACTTACTAAGTTCTCCAGCTTTAGACCACTGGATAATTTTTTCATGATTGAAGAACAGAGTTATCTCAGAAATAATTTTGATTCCCCAGGCCTTCCTTAATCAGGTAAGGATAACTTGCATGCCCAACTACAGCTAAAGTGGTACATTTGACCAAAGTCTGTAGAAAACTCTGAAAAAAATGTAGGCCTAGCTTTATTCTGGCAATGAATTTTGATCCAACCTAACCAACGTTCAAGGGCAGAGAACAGTAGATTAGATACACGGAGCTTCCCCAGTGTTATCTGATCTACTTTGCTCACAATTTTATAGTAAGTAGAATACCAGAAGTCTCAAGTGACTCTTGCTTCTAAAGGTTTAATGGGTAAGGAGAGCCACATACTTGTTTCTTCAGGTTCCATTAAGGCAAAAGCAGGCTATGCCTCCTGGACCTGCTATTACTCTTTTTATACGACCTGTAACAATGTGGTTTCATGAAAACACTTCCCTGGTGTTTTGTTTTCTCCCCAAGGAAGGGACCAGAGATTGACTGGCTTCCTTTCCCTACAGACTCCAGGTATCCCTCTTGTGACTTGTTGGGTGAGTCAGGTTCAATTAGAGTACAAGAGCCAACAAGACTTAGTCTCTTATGTGCCCCAGAAAAGAGAAGTTTCTGGTCCAAGTCTCTAGGGAAAAAAAAGCTACATACAATTTTGAGCCTCATCTTACACTTTCATTTTATTTTATTTTATTTGGTGGTGGGCAGGGGGGTTGAGGCAGGGTCTCACTCTGTATCCTTGGCTAGCTTGGAACTCTGTTGACCAGGCTGGCTTTGAACTCACAGACATCTTCCTGCTGCTACCTCTCAGAGATGGGACGAAACGTACACATCACCATGCCTAGCCTCACTTTACACTTTTAAACTTGTTCTCCCTTGGTCAAGAAAAGCAAAAATAGAGAAGTGTGACAAGTACCATGCGATATGAGGTCCTTCCTAAGTGGCTTCATGCCAAACTACAACAGACCTCCTTCATGAGATAATAGGTACAAAATACAGCTAAGAAGAATTAGTTTTAGTCCACAAAGTACAGTAGGGTAACTAGATTCTAAATTAGAAAAGACCGTGAAAGCATCCAACCTAGAGACTCGTAAATGCTGATTGCCCTGTTTTGATTATTACACAGTAT